GGTGGATGAAAAGCTGGACATGACCCAGCAATGGGCGCTCACAGCCCAGAAAGCCAACGGCATCCTGGGCTGCATCCAGAGCAGCGTGGGCAGCAGGGCGAGGGAGGGGATTCTGCCCCTCTGCTCCGCTCTGGTGAGACCCCCCCTGCAGGGCTGCGTCCAGCTCTGGGGGCACCAGCACAAGACAGACACGGACCTGCTGGAGCGGGTCCAGAGGAGGCCACGAAGATGCTCACGGGCTGGAGCAGCTCCCCTGTGAGGACAGGCTGGGGGAGGGCTGGAGAGGAGAAGGCTCCGGGGAGACCTTAGAGCGGCCTGGCAGGGCTGAAAGGGGCTGCAGGAGAGGTAGGGGCAATTTTTTAGCAGGGCCTGTTGTGGTAGGACAAGGGATGATGGTTTTAAACTAAAAGAGGGCAGATTCAGACTAGACAAAGGAAGAAATCTTTTGCACTGAGAGTGGTGAGACGCTGGCACAGGCTGCCAAGAGAGATGGTAGATGCCTCATCCCTAAAATCATTCCAGGTCAGGCTGGATGGGGCTCTGAGCAACCTGATCCAGCTGAAGACGTCCCTGCTTACTGCAGGGGGGTTGGACTAGGTGGCCTTTCAAGGTCCTTTCCCACCCAAACCGTTCTGTGATTTGGGTGGATCTCTTTGTACATAATGTGAACCCAGCAGTGAGCAGAGGGGAGAGGCTGCCTGCCTGAGAACACGGGACTGCAGAGGAGGAGAGAACAGGCAGCAAGGAAAAACACGCCACGAAAAAGAAAAAAAAAATAACGCCAAGTGACAGAAAAAAATAGAGAGATGCTGGCAACTGCCAAACGACCCATTTTTATGATTTATGAGACCATGATTTGTGAGACCATCCTGCCTCCCCCACTTTGCAGGGTGGGTTTGGCAGCATCTTGTCTGTGCAAAGCAAGATCCCAGGATGAAACAGGTTGAAAATACCGTTTAGACCATCTGCTCCCGTTGCTACCTCTCTCCTGTCTTCAGGGCATTTTGGAGAGCTGAGTTCACCTTCCGTCCTACAGGATGTGCTGGGAGTGCCCTGCAGCGTTTGGACCTGTCTTTACCCGTGATTTTACCTCCCGGGGGGTCTCCCAAGCATCCTGTGCCAACCAGCAATTTATCCGTGGTTTGGAGATGGGTTGTGCTCAGGATGTGGGCTGCACAGACAGCTCCGGAGCATCGATCCAGACCTGCCTCCTGTGCTGTCCCCTTTCTGAGAGCTACTGCAGCGGCTGCCATGCAGCAAGGGATGTTTCAGGTGCAGCCATGCAGTCAGGGGTTGTCTGTGTGTCCAGCGGTGCCCTGCTTTGGGCTGGCTGGGCTGTGAAGGCTCCCCCTGAGTTATTTGGTGGTGCACGTGCTCCGCAGCATCCATCCGGAGGATCCTTTGGATGATGTTGGGGGTGGCACAGAGCACAGGACAGGACGGGTGCCCGCGCTAGACGTACGATAAAGCGCTCGCCTAAGGGCGCGCCAGCAGGGACAAAGCGACTGATTTCAAACGGATTCCCATACCCCGCGCCCTCCCCTTAATCCTCCCCCTCCCCAACACCACCCTGCCCACCGTGGCACTGCCTCCTCCTCTCCTCAGCCTTTTGTGACAGGAGCTGAGCTGTGCTCTCCGTTCGGTAGCAGCTTCATCCACCTATTACAGCAACTTTCGATCTTGCCTTTAGCTCCTGTCGTTAGCTGCTTTCCCTTTGCCGCAAGGTCTCCAGGCTCTTCAGTAGCTCCTTTAATCTATTCTAACCCCAACGCCGTCGCTGAGGCTTCGCTCTCCGAATGCTCTTCCATCCCTCACAACAGCTCACGTTCACTCGTCTTCCGTCTTGCCACACAAGTCGGACGTTTCCAAAAATCCTCAGCTTTCATCCAGCTGTGCTCCCACCTGCAACTCCCATCAACTGCAGTTACACGTAGCCCTTTTCCCAAGTTTTTGTTTCTTTAGCTCCGAAGAGCAATAATTAGGAAAACTTCATTTTGACTACAAAGCCAAACTACAGCACTAAGCTCTGCCGTTGCTCCAGGCGAGGAACACCGGGTAGATGCAGGTGGAGTTTTGGGCAGAAACGGATGGTAAAGCTTGGGTGAGAGGGCGGCTGGCATGTTTGGGTTTGTTCCCCACATCTGAGCAGGGCTGTAGCCTAGGGCTCACATTCTGATCTTGCTTGTACTGGTGGAATTCAGATGCAGCACTGCTGATTCATTGGCCCCTGGGGTTTAAAAGGTACTTTCAGTTCTTTAATCAAAGGCTGTGGCTAATGAGAGTGGTGCAGGATCTGGAAATGCCAAGCAGTGCAGGGAAATGTGCATCTGCAAGGAAGGGCGAAGGCATAACCACCTTCCCCTGTACTTGTTTAGCAATTTCTTATCAGCATATCTGGAAGCGCGCTATGCAGGTGGGTAAAGAACCATCTGCCTCTGCAGATCAGCAGCCCGGGGCACAGAGGGTGATACAGCTCGCCCGAGGCCAGCCAGCAGCTCAGTGGCAGTGGCAGGCGATGGAGGCTCCGTCTCTCTGCACCTTTTCTCGCCATTTCAGATTCTGACCCACTTTGTGACCTCAGGAATGATTGTAAAGTATGTTGTAAGTACGTACGTGTTTGTTCTCACAACGTGGTCGGAAGGAGTTACACCAAGGCGTTATGTAGGTCTGATGTTGCTTCAAGGGTAGACTGCTTGGCTCGGTACGTTCCTGGACATTGCTGTTAGTTATCTGACAGCATCATAAACACAAAAACTTTACAAACCAGAGAAGGCCTAAGCCTTGAAATGTATAGGAAGCACTTAAGACGCATGATCTGCTGCAGCGAGGGCACAGTGTCCGCAGTCATGCCCGAGCACTCGGCTCCAAGACCAGTCAGACCCTGGGAACTTGATGTTTCCCGCGAGTCTGCTCATTGATGAGAAAAGACAAACAATTTCTGCAGGGTTACATCATTCCCTTGCGTAGCCATTTGCTGTTTGTAGCACGGATTTAGCGTTGAACCGCTTCCACAAGAAGCTACACGCTGCCTAACGGAGACAAAAAAGAAGCTGGAGCAACAGTTTGGCCTTCAGAAACCAAGGAAACACCCATGAAGCAATCAGTTTAACTTGGTTTCCTGGAGGAAAAGGCTTGTGAGGAGAGATTTGCAATACCAGGAAATGAAACCGATGAATGGGATTTACCCCACCTTGCTTTAAATGCTCAAAAGTTGGCTTTCTTAATCAAAATTAGTCAGTCTGGTCTCTTGCATAATCAACAAATCCTAAGAGAGATGAGATAATTGCCATCTGCAAGTTCCTATTTCAGCTGATCACTTGAGAAGTGACCAGCTTAGACTTAACATCGCATTAGTTGAGATGAACTCCCCCTTCCGAGCATCCGGGGCAACTGGAAATACGAAAGAACAAAGTCTGGGAGAGGGAGATGCACTGAATTACCTCATCATTGATTTGGAGCTGGAATTCACATGGCACTCAACCAAGTACCCCAATGGGTAGGGTCTCCTGCTGGATGCCCTCCCTTCAGATAAGATCCATGGTGCGTCGTGCTCGGTGCCTGGTCCTGACAATGGTCAATGTCTCTTGTGTCCAAAACCTTGAAACCCTCAGGTGACACAGTGCAGAATAATCTGCTCACAGAGCAGAAGTCTTCTCCTAATCCTTGGTGATCAGCAGCTGGCATGTTCTCTGAAGCATGATTTCTAGTCTGTAGTTCATTCAGAATTCATGGGCATACCGTGACTCTTCTGAACATGTGGAAATGTTCGGTTTTATCCCAGCTTTCTCTCTCTGGGATATGATAAGGCAATGAGTTACAGTTGCTGTGCATTCAGTCCCCTCATCCTTAAAAACTATGATTTGTTACATTTACTGGGTATTTTCTTAATTGTGGAGAAGACAAATAAGAGCACATGATTTACATTCCCTTAAATAATTAGCCTAGTGCCAGCTCCCCACACAGAGTCATGTGCAATGCTGGAATCTGGAGTGTGGGATTTGATTTCCTTCTCACTAACGAGATGGAAAAGATAAGAGTCGCCTTCTTTAACATGAGAAAGAAATTCTGTCTTCAATACTAATTAGTTTTTTCTTGAAACGTTTTCCCTGGGCCTCCTTTCTCCCACCTATTAAAGGCTTTTTCCCTTGAACGCTGTGGTGCGTTCTTCACCGTCGAGCTGATTTGGCAGGGGCTGTAGGTTACAGCTGAGGGATCACATTAACGTTGGTGGTAAACCACTCATTTTGTAGGGAGGGTAGAGCTTCCCATCACTCAGGTGGCTGGTAGTCCTCCCTTGTCTTCCACAATCCCCTTGGTGCCCACAGAGACAGACAACTTCTGTAATTCACTGGCAAAGCATCACAGAGCAGCTCAGGCCATGGGACATGCCCCAAGATGTCCGAGTGATGCATCGGCAAGCTCAGCACACATGAGGTCCAGCAGCTCTAGCAAGGATCCATGCAAGTGTCTCCACGGTCAAACGCCTGGATGAACTCTGCAGAGACGACATACCCAGAAGAGAAAGAGAATATAGCACCAGCTCGAGAGCAGCAGGGACAGGAAACCGGGCTGAGAAGCACAACAGGGAAACACACTTGGTCTGTACTCCAGTTTGGAAACGGGAGATCCCACCTGGAGATCCCAAAGGCCGGCAGGAGTCATTGCACCAAGTATGGTACTTCCAAAAAAAAAAAGTACAAAGCTGTTGTTCCAACACCTTTCTATCTAAACTGGCTGCAAGGCAGTTAAAATTTCTTTTGGCCAGCCTCAGTGAGACTAGACACAGGACCTCCATGCCCATTTCTTTGCACTGTGTGGTGAGGTCAAGGAAGAAAGTGTTTTCTAGCAACAGTTGAAAAAAAAAAAAATTAAGCTGGGTCCTTCTGAAGGACTCAAAAGCAGCTGTTCTTCACTGAGCACAGCGTGCGACTCGGGTAACGTTGCTGTTGTTTCCGCAGTGCCAGGCAGATAAGTTTCTGTTCTGCTGGGATGATCCTCCCTTACTCTGTGTCAGATCCTTGGTTAGATGGAGGAAGGTGCCAGGGCTGAGCCTCAAACAGTGGAGATGCTAGACGAAAGAGAAATAATGTAAGAATCAGGTTAATTTAGTCAGAGAATTCAGATTCTAAACATATTTAGGTACTCAGCCAATCCTTGGGATTTTGGTGGCATTTAATGCCTCAAATACCTTTACAAATCTGGATTGAATGGAAAGACAGTTTCCATTCATCATCTCATTATAGAGAAAATAATCATCAATCAAAACATCTTTACTTTTCCTGCCCACTTTCTGACAATCTGCAAACATGCCCTGGTAAAGCCCCGCTGGACCACTACCTCAAGTTGGTAAGTTTACGTTGAGAAAAGCCTCGCAGAGATCACAAAGGTCCAGGAGAGGTCACTGAAGGAATTAAGATAGAATTTGTCTCTCATACAAAAAAATACATGGTTTTGCCTTGCCAATTGCCCCTGATCCAAATGCAATCCCCCAGGGATAATTTACGTTGGTAGTTGTTATACTACAGCCGTGGTGTTTCTAGGTAGCTTGCTCCCCCCTTAACCCTAACCCTTTCCTCACGCACAGTTTTCAAGTTAGTTATCAAGCAGAACGCAGTGACTGCAGCAGAGCTCAGACAGGACACTGCGCGTCCCTGCGTGCACCATCGCCCTCCACCCATATGGAATAATCACGGGGTGGCCACTTCCCTGCAGGAGCTCCCCTTGCTCCATCCCCTACATCCTCTTTGACAACGCTAAACCGCATCTCAACTGCAGTTGCAGGTTGGTTCACAGAAGAGATTGAAACACTTTCTTCCCATCTCCAGTGCCTCCCAGACGGCAGCAATCGGAGCTGAGTGCTACATTCCTGGGAGGCCACAGCACTGCTGCCAGACCAGCGGAATTCCCTTGATTGACTGGAACAACCAACAAGGAAGCCAAGGCCCAGAGCCTACGCTGAACTCTCCGTGACTTGGCCCCAGTCCAACGTACAACCTTCCTAAGACTCTGTTGAGGAAATGCAACCTCAGGATCAGGGCCTTATTTTATAGAAACCTCGTATTGCCTCAGAAGTGTAGAATCGTAGAATCATTAGGTTGGAAAAGACCTCTAAGGTCATCAAGTCCAACCATCAACCCAACCCCACCATGCCCACTAAACCATGTCCTGAAGAGGCTCATCTACATGTTTTTTAAACCACTTTGGGGATGGTGACTCCACCACTTCCCTGGGCAGCCTGTTCCAATGTGTGACCACCCTTTCAGCAAAGACATTTTTCCCCCTGTTCAATCTAAACCTAAACTAAACTGAAGTATGAGGGACTGTAACCCTCTAGCCTGATACTGATGCTTTCCTCCCTTGGCTTTTATGGCCAGGATGCATTTCTGTACTGCTTCCCACATGAAGAAGTCCCCATGTGTTTTCCTTAGGCCTCTTTCCCCTATGTATCATCCTTTGTCTAGTTTAGATCATTTCTTTCATCTCCCACAGAAGGATTTCTGATCACTCATTTGCGCTGTGGGTCCTCCTCATGGGGGTCAGCCTATGGACCTGCTAAAAACGCTAGATGGTAGGGAGATCCAAAGGGATGCTGGAGGTCTCCACGTGCTCCGTTATTTCCCTTCTAGATTATTGGATAGTCACTGTGCTGTAGGAGCTCCCCTCACTCTACCCCTGTGATCTCTTTGAAAATTCTAACAGTATCACATCAGAAGCCTCTTCTCCTTTGTTCACTCCAGGTTCTTTACCCACTACCCTTCTTGCACCATTAAAAAATCATGAGGGGTCACAGGCTGCGATCCTTACGTTGACAACCCACTTGTGAACTGACAGGACTTTCACCAACAGCTGCCCAAATGTGGAGCGCTTCCAAAAGAGACCAAAAGACTTCCCCAGCAAGCTGCAGACGCTGAGGACCTTCAGGAGGTGCTGGCCATATCAAGCGTCGAGGTCATCATGAATAGCTGCCCAAGCCAACCCGAGATAGAAACGGCATAAAATTGGGTTTGATGGTGTCAGTCTGCCTCCTTATTTTTGGAAGGCATTTGCAGATCAGCTGCTTTCTCAGCTGTTGTCTCCCTGGAGTTACTTTGCCCTGTCGTTTGCTGAATGCTCCGATTCCAACCCAACCATTCCAGTTCCTGCTGGCATCTATCCAGGACTTGCCAGAGTCCATGGACTCTGGACTGAGCCCACTGTCACTTCTGATCTAAGATCTCTTGCTCTGCCGCTGAGCATTAGTGAGTTAAACCCACGGGAAGCCCATGCCAGGGTTCAATCCCAAGATGACAGTCGTGACAGACAGGTGGATCTGGCAAGTGCTAGATGTGACGTCTCTGGCCATATGTTCTCTTTTGACGCAGCGAATCACTGTCATCTGGATGCCCACCATCCAGAACGACTGCCTTCTCCTCCACCTACAGAAATATACTGCCAGCGCCATCTCCTTCCCTCCGTGTGCTAAATTTGGATATTGGCAATCTCTACAGTAGCCCCCACATGGGACACGGCAGCATACTAACGTGGGGACCCGGTGTTTGTCCTTGTGAAGTCTTTCTTTCCTCTTCCACGTGGCTTTGGCACTGGAGCTCGAACAGGTGCTGGTCGTATCCCAGCGTTCCACTGGGAGTTCTGGGCCAGGGTCTTTGCTGCTGCTTTGGAGGGCAGGTGCCCATTTGACTGGGGAGTGGCCCAGCTGGGACGAACTGGTGGTTTTGGAACCGACTCAAGATCTGCAGAAAGTGACAGCTAGGAAGAGAAGGCAGTAAGTATCATATCATCCCGTCTGAAAATGTCCATTGAGAACTTTCATAAATTCTGTATGGATTCTATACACATTCTATAAATTATATTCCTAAATGATATCCCTGAATTATATTCCCAAATGATCCAAGCAGAATCTGCATTATTGGCAGTGACCTGTGCCCGGGTGTAAGTTTACCTTAAGGACAAAAGGACCCAATTAGAAACTGATGCTAGGAAAGCCAAACCCACGTTAATTGATTCTCCACATCAATTCACATGTTAATGCACCAGTTCTCCCCCCTGCATACGGCTGGGACTGATCCCAGTCCTGCTTGCTGTTTGAAGTCTCGCAGTGTAAAGGATGCAGTTTATTTTAGCATACTGTTCAACGAGCGTTTTACTAAAAAGTATAAAAATTTGGCAAAAAAGACCCAACTTAAAAACACAGTGATTGTTTACTCCTTGAGAAGGATCCCAAATATTCAAAAAGCACGGGTTCTGCAGACCCACAGCTTCGGGTTTTTTCGACTGATGCAAATTATTTGGTAAGAACAGTGAACAAACATTAACAAACCCAAACATTTACATAGCAACTCATTCAAAAGCAACACGGGCAGACAGTCTGACGTGAAATTAGTGTCTGGAGTAAAATGGCTGTGCAGAAAAGTCAATGCTCTTCTGCAATTCCTGCCTGCCTGTTTCCCCTTTCCATTATTTGAATTGGCAGCAGTGGCAGATATATGGGGATTGTCCAGTTATAAAGAAGCAATCCAGCAACTGCTGAATATCAACCGAAGGAAAGGCCAGTGATTACACAACTGCCGAAAGGGCTCCGGGATCTCAGCAGCCCTTGAAGTGCGACAGAGATGGTGCGGTAAAAGCAGCTACAGGTTTTTTGTCAAAAAAAGCCCAGTACCACAGAAGCAGCGGTAGTTGCAGCACAGATCTGACTGTTCCTTGCTTTTCAGCTCCTGTGGTGGTGGTGGTTCAATTTTAGAGCTCGTAGGCACAGACTATTAATTAAAGCCAGGCTATGCCTTTAAAATTAGAGTGATATATATAAGCTGAATTTGAATATGCAAATATTATACTGAGTTATTTTCACTCTTAGGAATAGTCCTATGAAGTTCAACAGGGCTTCCTGTATGAATAAATAAAATTCAAAATAAGGCTTGCAGGATATAAATACACACTGGACAGGACGGTGTCTCGGTGCTGAGAGCCCTGGATCTTCACATGGGCTGTACCCACGCCGTACGTGAACGTGATTCATACTCAAAACATCAATTCCCTGTCAATATGTCATAGGAAAATATATTCCTGGCTTCAAATGCTGCAATCGTCTTACCTTAGGGTATAGGCAGCGAGGCAAGAACGACTGATCCCGGCCAAAAGACGTTATTTAGTAAGTACTAAAAATAAGTCAGTAATTCGGGAACAGCTGTGAGGGTGGAGCAGCCTCTCGAACAGAAACGAGCAGACAGCCCGAAAGGCAAAACCAGCCCCTAACTGCTGACATCGCAGTCATTTGCGGAGCCGTCAAAAGCAGCAATCAAGTATTACCTTCCTGATAAAGTCTCTGGGGCGTGAGGCTGCCTGATTTGGTGAGAAGCTGCAGGAGACTCCTCACTGGAAATCCCGCAAGGACTCGTGTAAAGGACACTGATGTGGCAGCGGTGACGCCTGCGAAGGGACCTGTAGGGGCCAGAGCTGAGAAATCAGAGCAGGGCAGCGCAGTGCCACGTCAGAGTGACCAGGGGGTGTGATACAGTGGCCCAAACAGCCATCTGGCTTCCAAAGCTTGGAGAAGTCACCGAACCTGTTGCATTCATCACTTTTCTTTACCTAATGGTGGGACAGCAGCTGCTGAAGGCAACGTGAGCATCCAGGTGGTGGAGACAAGCCACAAAGCCTTGATCCAGCAAAGAGATGGTCAACACTGAAACTACACATACCCTCAGAGCAAGGCATTTCCCTGGATAAAGCCAGAGCAGGTGTCCCCTCCCCACCGTAGGGACACGGGGGTTGCGTGAGCATTTATAAGAAAGAGTATGGCCCTCCATTCAGAGACCTAATTAACTTAATTTATTGTAATTTACTATTTACTGTAATTGAGCTAATTTACTTTAATTTATTCTAAATGAAGTGTGAGCCTGGTCATATTTTATGCTACTGTTTCCATGATTACTAGTAAACTCCAAAACCTCACAGGTTTACTAGGGAGAGAACTGATTCACCACGTGCAAATGTGGAGCCAGTGGATGTAATTCCAGGGCTCGGGTCATCACCTTAATTATGTGTTTCTTCTATTTTGGTGAGCTGTTGCTCAGCCTCCTGAGCTTGGAGCTCCATATAATAGCCCCTTCCACATCTTCATTGTTGTCTGTAAGAGACTTTATTCTCACCTGCTTTCTGCACTTGGATCATTGATCTATTTAAGAGCTTCATTTTAATTTGACTTGATGTTTGCTTGCTTGGGGCACTTATTTCTTTCATCATCGTCTGTTCTTCTTCTAAGGCTTTACTAAAAGATTTGAGCATTAAGCCTCTTTATTTGTACTTGATTAAATAAGAGTCCTTTCACAGGTCTTCATTTCAACAAGGCTTCCTAATGCTACCTTAATAATAAATGGAAATTAATTTTGGATTATTCTTAGCATGTTATATATAGATATTCTTTTTCTATGCATCAGCCTACCATAACCTAACCTTTATTGTCATGTAGCCTTGTAGTCATTAATGGCCAGTGTAACAGCAGGCTTATGTATCAGAGAATAAGAAACGAGGCTCTTCTACTGAAATTTGGACAACTCTCAACTCCAGAAAAATACAAGCCTATTTTCAACGCAAAGGTCTAGG